TTCCTCTTGACCAGCTGTCGATTGGCTTTACTGTTTCCGAGGCAACCTCCTTCGATTCCGATGAAAAGGAGCTAAGCTTTCGTCCGTCATATGACGGACATCATCAGAGCAGGTTATCATCCTGACAACCAAAAGCAAGCTAACGAGTCAAGCAAACTCTTCAAGTAAGAGGAATCCGCCGTCGTCTTTTGGTGGAATCGACCTTCAAATCTCTTCACCCAACACTTTTACTTGAAATGGAAGTAATCTCAACAATTATGAAACAAGAGTTTCCTCGAAACTCAACTTTTCTTCACCTATTCTCTTCAAGTCGTGTTGGCAAAGTTTACTTAAGCAAGGATCCCCGGCTCAGACTAGGTCTGCCATGGTAGGGCAGACGTATACAAAGCGACAGTCACGATGGCATAACGATATTGGAATTGCATCTACTAACACTTTTAGACAAAGTGTAAATTACAAAAACTCGAATGCTACTTGTCGCTTCATCGGAAACTTTGCGACTGGCTTCGCTACCTACCGGCTAGAGACAGTTGCCGTTGTGGATTTTTGCCAAGAAGTCCTCTATTTACCGCCCTAAAATCAACGTGCCGATTCATCTGTGCTGTGCTTTTGTCTGTGACAGGCAACATTTGCCAATTAAACTGTTATTCAATTAATCAATACATATTTCTGACAGGATTCATGTCCACATTTGTTAAACGATCCATTTTAATGAGATCTAAAGGGGATTCGGATTAAGGCTAACAACCGTCTTTTTTGATGTATGGTATTGGTGATATTTGTTGAGCTTACTGTCATTTCAAGTCGAGAGATTCGAAGGTCGATCCCATCAGAAGACGACGGTGGATTCCTCTTGATCAGATGTTGATTGGCTTTACTGGAACATTCTTGTTGACGCTATTACCAAGCCGTCTTCTTCGATTTTGGTGAAAACATGCCTCGGAAACAGCTTCAACACGCATCTACCAGTCAAGCCAATCGACAGCTGGTCGTCTTCTGGTGGGATCGACCTTCGAACCTCTTCACTAAACACGTCCACACGAAATGTTAGTAAGCTCAACAATCGTGAAATGAAATATTGCCCGAAATTCAACTTTTACTCGGAGATATGAAGACCAAGATGGTGTGGCCTTTTGTGTGGTCGCAGTCTCTTTGACGAGTTGTAGCATGGTGCTACGAATGGTGAAACTCACTGACGATGCCGACTACGATGCCGGCGAAACGTCTGGGAATGTAC